GTGGGATGAATCAATGCTCAGTGGTTGGGACGTGTGTACTTTAATATGTGTACTTACATTGGAACACAATGAGCAGAACGAGGGGGTGCGTGCGCGTGTGTGTACAAGAATGTTTGGACAAACAGGGACAGTGAAAGGACACAGTAGGAATAACTCCGGCGATTGTGCAGCGCCCATATACAGTATTGGTCTCAGCACAGATAAGGAGGAGGAGGAGCGAAACGAAGATGGACGTACTAAATGATTGCCCAAGCGGAGACGAGACACAGGATCCAATGCAGGATTGGGAAAATGTAGTTCGGGACAAGTATCACAAATGGTAGAGTTGGATTACCGACACGATTTGTGTATGTGGGTGTGTGGAAAAGTGGAAGAGAAGTGGACGCAAAAATAGGGAGGAAAGTGTACCTTTGTGAATGCATGACATTTTCCTTTGATTCAGTCAAACGAACTCACTCCAATGCGTCCAACTGTTGGCCAATTAGCGTGCATGCGAGAAACGTGTGAACGTCCAATCAGCTGCCACCTTTCCTTGCGGCAGCCTAACGGCTTCCTTGCTGGGCTGGCACCGCACGTTCGTTCGAGTGTATACTCCCATCACATCCTCCCTTTTTTCATGTTCTTGCTGCTGTACTTTGCTAAATAGTCCATACACTTTACCACTCCGCGTCCTCTTTATTGGATCTGCCGATGTCGCCTCATAGCCGCACGCAGTATAACGCTCTCTCCCTGATTCATGCCGTCGCCTCGGACATCTCCTCAGCTGTACTCGGTTTCTTCTCAGCTTCTTCCCTCCAACATGTACTTCGTATGACCTTTCACCGACTTTCGCAGCCACGACTCCTTTTCTCCACCGCTCCTGTCCATCGGGAATTGGTTCAACCCATACTTCTTCCCCCACTGTCAGCTCAGGTAATTCCCGTGTGCCGTTGTCGTAGTACCGTTTCTGAGTAGCCATTCGCCTTTTCAAACTGTTCTGTACTTTCTCCATTTGTGGCGTGACAGGAGGCAGAAGTGTTGAGGATGCAGGCATCACAGTTCTGTTCCTTCGACTGTATAGGCGCTGCACTGGGCTCAGGCCGATATCCGTTGAAGGAGTGTTGCGACTCTCCAGTAGCATGAGGTATGGGTCCTCCCGAGTATCTCTAGCCTTCGCTAATAGTCGCTTGGCTTGCTTCACTGCCGACTCTGCCTTCCCATTTGATTGACTGTGATAGGGACTGGTTTACCGGTGTGCGAATTCCCATTTGGTTGCGAAAGCCTGGAATGCTTTGCTGCTGAACTGGGGACCATTGTCCGAGATTAGCTCCTCCGGTGTCCCGTGCCGTGCGAATTGACATCTGAGTTTGTTGATTACTACCTCCGTGGTCGTGGTGGTGAGTAAATCGATTTCAAAGTAATCACTATAGTAGTCAACCGTGAGTAAGTAATCTTTTCCGTTGTCCCAGAATAGACCCACTGCTACCCTTTGCCACGGTCGGTCCGAAACATCATGCAGCATCATCGGTTCCTTCGTTTGCTGAATGTCGTGCGAACGGCACGCCTCACAGTTAGACACATGATCCTTGATCTGACCTGTCATTCCTGGCCAGAACATCAGTTCCCTAGCACGATTAATGGTGTAATTTGCACCCAGGTGAGCGCGATGGACATGCTCCAGCATCTCCTTTCGGAGAGAAGAAGGGATTAGGATTCGACTTCCCTTGAACAACATGCCGTCACAGATAGTGAGTTCGTCCCGAAAATTGAAGTAGGGTGTTAATTCCTTCGGGAGCTGCTTCTTTGTTTCTGGCCACCGATTGAGGATAACGTCTCGCAAAGCTGCAAAAATTTGGTCTTCCTCCGTGAAACGTCTTATATCTTTCAAACGGTTTTCTGTCATTGCCAGATGCTGCACCATGCTAACTGTGTCGATCACTTCTAGATGATGTTCGGCCACTGGCGGATGTGCTCTCGACAGGGTGTCCGCGATGAACATCTGTGTGCCAGGTATGTACATAATGTCAATGTCATACTTTTGGAGCCGGATAAGCACACGCTGCAGACGGCGAAGAACGTTATTTAGTGGTTTAGTGGCTATCGACAACAGCGGCTTATGATCAGTGTACACGGTTGTCTTTGTTCCAAAAGTATAATCATTGAAACGCTCCATGACATAGACCACTGCCAGCATCTCTTTCTCGATCTGTGCCTACCGCTTCTCGGCGTCTGTGGGTGCTCGACTGCGGAAATCCAAAGGTCTTCCGTTCTGCAACAGAACAGCACCTATTCCACTCTGGCTACTATCACACTGTACCTCCAATGGTTGTGCTGGATCGTAATATCCGAGTACGGGCGCATTACTGATAAGGTTCTTAAAGGTTGCGAAAGCCAAATCCTGTTCCTTCCCCCAGCTCCAATTTACTCCTTTGTGAGTTAACTGCCTAATCGGAGTCATGACATCAGCGAGTCCTGGTAGGAACCGGCTCAAATAATTCACCATACCGTTTAGGCGATGGACTGCTTTCACATCGTTAGGGGACGGCATCTCTTGTATCGCCTTAATCTTCCCTGGGTCAACCCTGATTCCGTCGGATGTTAACACATGCCCATGGAAAATCACCTCCTCTTTCCGCAGCTCTACTTTCTCGCGTTTTAGCTTGATGTTCTTTTGCACTCAACGCCTCAGGAACCGGTGTAGCTTAGTGTCATGCTCTGCTTCGATAGAACCGTAAATCAGAACATCATCTGCCACACAGGTTACGCCATCTAAATCATCTACTGCTTGCACCAAACGCTTTTGGAAAATTTCGGTAGACACCTCCAGGCCAAACCGTAATCGCAGCCAACGATAACATCCGAACGGTGTAGCAGATGTGGTGAGGAAACTGGATTCGTCGTCTAGAACAACGTGCCAGAATGCGGAAGAAAGGTCTAGTTTCGTGAAAATCTTAGCTTTTTTCAAACGCGGTAAAACATCTTCTAACGTCGGTAGCGCATAATGTTCTCTACGCAGGGCCTCATTCAGTGACTTCGGTTCTATACATACGCGTAGTTCGCCATTTTTCTTCGTAATGACTGCGACCTGGCTAACCCAGTCTGTTGGCTCATCAACCTTTGCAATCACATCCTGCATAACCAGCTTGTTCAATTCCGCGGAAAATCGGTCACGTAGCGCAAATGGGACTCTCCTAGCAGGTAACGCAATCGGGCGTACCAAAGGATCTAACGACAGGTGAGTGGTACCATCAAATTTCCCTAAACCCGGGCTAAACATAGACAGATACAGGTCACTAACATCGGCTTCACTCTGACAAGCGTACACAAAACGATCATGGTTAAAAATGACAAAGCCAAGAAATAAAATCGAATCAATGCCGAGAATCGGCGTGAGATCCTCATCCACGATCACGAACTGCAGACGATGCGAAACGCCGTCTCTCGGATTGACCGCTTCAATTGTCGCTGAGCCCTTTGGCTTGAGTCTGGAACCATCCCACATGCGCAAATAATCTTGATCCGATTGAATTTGCACGCCGCGGCATTGCTTTCTGGGCAAAATATTGATCGTCGCGCCTGTGTCCAACTGGAATCGCACAGACCGTCCCTCGATCAGAAAACTTGCATAGCCACACTTCTGCGACGCTTTCCGAGACACGTTACCAATCGATTGTTCGGTGTCTTCTGTTGATTTGTCTGGAACGAGTGCACTGACATCTGTCGACTGACATCAGCGGGCGAAGTGATAGCGCTTCCCACCTTTGACACAAATGCGGCCCCACGCCGGACACTGTTCGCGGTTCCTCGGATGTCGTGTTGCACAGAAGTTGCAGGGCTCCTGTTGCGCGGTCGTGGCCCCGTAGTTTTGCTCCTGGAAACGGCGCACAACTCTGAATCACCTGTGATTGTCATCTGCTGGAACTGATAGGCAGTGGAGGACTCACTGTTACAGATGTCGATACATTGCTGCAGAGATAGGTTGCGCTTTCGTAATAGTCGCTTCGTCAAACCTTCGTCACTGATCCCAAGAACAATGCGGTCGCGTATGAGACTATCCACCATGCATTTACAGAAACTGCAGGATCGGGCAAAATTTTTAGCTCAGTGACGTACGTGTCAACGGATTCACCTGGCCGCCTGTTCCGCGAAAAGAAGAGGTAGCGTTGAAATGTCTCGTTTGTTTGGCCTTCGCAGTATTCACTGAACTTCTCAAGAACTGTCTCCAGATTGTTGGCATCTTCGCTCTTGTGGTAACACAATGTCTATAGCACGCGGCGCATCATCTTCTGCTGCGTGTCGAAACATGGCCAAGCGGTACGCCATCGGTTGTTTGTCCAGACGCGATAAAGTGCAGAAATCCATCAATTTGCCCTTCCACAAACGCCAGTTGCTTGCCAAACTGCGTTCATCCATGTTCAGCGGGGCAGGCATTTGAATAGCCGGTGCAGCTCCAATCATCGTCTGGGTGGTACTAATGTTCTTCTCCTTTTCTGACACCATGTTAAAAGTCGGTCCTTCAGGGACAAAACGTATATTCTGCAGACAAAAGGACCAGGCGAAAACGCAGGCAGAGGGCGAGTGAAACATATCGATATATACAAACAGTTGGATCCATAATTAACGACCTTTGTGAATGCATGACATTTTCCTTTGATTCAGTCAAACGAACTCACTCCAATGCGTCCAACTGTTGGCCAATTAGCGTGCATGCGAGAAACGTGTGAACGTCCAATCAGCTGCCACCTTTCCTTGCGGCAGCCTAACGGCTTCCTTGCTGGGCTGGCACCGCACGTTGGTTCGAGTGTATAAACCCATCACAGAAAGGGTATGCAGTAAAACAATGCATTTGCAAGTAGAGAACTTGTGTCAATAGAGCATAAGCAAATTACTCTCGTATGAAGAGTGGCTGCAGGTGTTGCGTGCCGAAATTGACGGGAAAGAGAGAGGGGACAAACTGTGTGCTCAAGCGTGATGTCAGCGAGTTTTATTGGAAAAAATTGAAAAGTAGCTCGGACATGGAGCTTGGGGATTGACAAGGAAGAGGCTGAAAAGAGGGCGAGTTTGCCGATCCAAAAACATACACATCTTCAGGGAAATGTCTCCTGTTCGGACAGCGACGACAGCAGCTCGGGGATTACATGAGCGCGCCCGCAATCGGTGGTAAAATGTGGAGGCGAACGGATGCGGACCAAACGTAAATATATATACACACACATGGACACATGTATATTTTGGTGTGTTCATAATGTATCTGTAGACATATATGTATAAACGCGCAATATCAACGCTCTGGTTGATTGCGGAAAATTCACAACGGGTGACTTGGTGAACGCGTTCGCAACTGACGGACTGAACAGATAGATACAAATTATGGATAATGGAAGCTGTGGGAGAGTGTGTACAGAATAAAAATGACGGAATCGATCCATTGCACGTATGTGTGGGAGGGAATCAGCAGAGAGTAGCCAGAGAACAATAGGGACAAGAAGTGAAGCGAGCGGAGTGAAGGACAACGCAGGAGCAACAGATCGGACTCACGGCCAGATGAAAATGATGCCAAGAGAGCAAATCGAATTATATCACAGTGGAGCGTTTGACAGCCAGCAAATCTTCTTCATACTTGCGGATGAACTCATCACGTTCCTAATTGGAAATAAAGAGGGAGAGTGACTTGTGACGGTAGAAGAAATGAGGCGAATATTCTGACATTACACTGGGTTACAATACAAGTTTAAACTTGGAAAAGCACGTTAACCGGCCTACGGAATACGCTCCAGCGCGCCCACGCCGTCATTTCGGATAAAATCACAATAGGTCCCCTTTTTCGAGTGTTTGTTATCTCTGCCTGATTCATCAAACAAGTACAAAATTAGTCACGGAGTGCAGCAGCATTCTCGAGAGAGAAACCACAAATGTCCATCTGCTTGGTCATGTACAGTCCTAGTGCACGTGATTTGGTGAAGGTTCATTCCAGGGTAAATTGTGGTCCACATGGAGATTGCGTGTCGCAATCCATCCACACAACGACGAGTGCTTCAAACGGACTTGCACACCTTGGGTGGTATCATTGGAAACAGGATGGACAGGGTAAACCTAATGTGATTAATCCGTCATACGCGACCCCATCGATATGCGCTAAAGATATGACGGCCTCAACTGATGCTTTCTGAGACAGAGGAACCCGTCCCTGCATAGGTGCATTATTTTATGTCTTAGAGTAATGAAAACAGCCAAGCAGTTTTACTATTCGCGAGAGGAAACCAACACTATCAATTTGTACAGCATCCAAAACCAGGGAACCTTATCCCTGTCATCCAAGCGGTAACACCTCATTTACCCATCTTGCAGTCATAGACACTCGAAACAAAATGAGGGCTGTCTAGCTTGAAGCAAGACCAATATGTTCGCTACAGCAGATCAGCCAATATCAGCTCGTTAGGAGCTCTTACTAAATAACTTGAAACCACATGGAGGAAAGAAATGCAACACTAGTGATTCAAGGACCGCCATTTCGTTTTTAGCTTGATTCAGGAGCCACCGGTAACAATCTCTCCGAGACAAATTGCACAGAATTAGAACGCAGTGAAACACGAAGGGGACGGGTTTGAGGCTACAACCGGAAGAAAACACTGCCATGAAGGCGGTCAAACCAAACAATGGAACAATGGTACATTACGAGTAAAAAGCAATGCTTAACAAATCGCTTGAGTTGGAAATAATGGAAGGGTCCATTAACGTTGTTGGCTTCCATTTGTTGAAGAGTCGCGAGAGCAGCGAGATCTTGCATCTGACACGGGTGTCACGCCTCGACGGCATATTATACGTGAAGTCACACGTAGGCGTTAAGCAAATGTGGAAATATTTATGGGTCAACCCGACCGAAGGATCTGCGAAGAAGGCCAAAGCGTTGATTACCGGCTCGCGACGCCACTTCTCACTGTTTCATGCAACCGAGACATTTCAATACAAATGTCCCAGGATCACGCCGCTGAGAGGTATTCTGCAACGTGTTGATCCTAAACTTGTACTCGCTCACCGACTGATGACGCGAGTGGATCACAATGCACTTGACTCTGTTGAACGTCGTTAGGTTCACTTTAACCACTCATGAACGCAATCCACACCACATTCGAGGAAATCGTGATCTTCCATGTTATTGATAGCTTTCCATAAATCAACACCATCGACAGCAAGCAGAAAATTTAAGGAGACATACGTTGCCAGTTCAATGATAAACACCATGATAAGCTTTGTCACAACGCCGAACCCCGTGTACATTGCATTCCATCTCAGTCGGGTTAAAGAGTGATCTCCCAGAACGCAATTAAAATCTTCGTAGTTGAAAAAAGTTGGAAATCCAACCAAGGAAATGATCGGCGACTTCAAAGCTCTGTGTCTGTGAAGTAGGATGCGGTGATCTAGGCTGCCGAAGATTTGAAGTAGTACAGCCATCTACATCCAACTACCACTTGCCATCAGCAGGTTGTTGGTGTATGTCCGGTGTTGACGAAAGAGATGTTGCTCCGGTACCAGGAAGTTGCATTTTACCTGGTTCTCCACTAAAGTCTCAGCGACAACTGCTTCCATCACCCACGACAACAAAAGGAGGAGTCACTGAGCGTTGGTTTGCAGGGTCCCAGAGGCTACCATCATAAAAAATCGCAATAGGATTTCTTTGCTTCTACAAAATGGCTATTGTTGTTCATCAAAGCATCATTCAAAGAGCCGTGACAGGGGTTATGCTAGCTTGTGGTTGCAGTGTTTAATGTTTTCCGACAAACGTTGTGGCCTACAGATGTGCAATGGTCGAACAATGAAAGCAATTTGCTTATTACTGTTGCTGGGTTGAAAATCACATTTGCAAACCATGGAATTGGTACAATGGATGACAGTAAGTGACAGCGATTGGCTGCGAGTTTAAAACCTGGAGAGATGAGAGCATATGAGTAGAAAAGAGTGAAAAGGAACAACCAATTAGGGAAATGGGAAAAAGGAGCATGGCTGTTAGATGATGGAAAGATGGCAGGTAGATGAAGTGACGGACCGAAAATGAGGGCACCACAAGTAAACACTTGAATCATATCATGCTTTTGCGGAAGAGAGCATTGGGTATTTGGGCATATTTCAGAGAAGGTTTATCACAGCTGCACCCGGTGGCACATCCACCTGATTTCCGAAAGAAAACTCTTGGAAGGGGGTCAGTAACTTTACTCAAGGCTGGCTGGAGGATTACAGAACGCCTGATCGATCAGAGCCTAGAGACTGCGACGTACCGCTTTCACTTACTTACCGCTGTAACAACCAGATGCTACAAACCTAAGTGATGGGTGGACACACGAAGACCATACCCTAGAAGTAAACGTATACTGTTCATTGGAAGTAAACAAACGATCAACAACGGTAAAATAGTTCCTGTGAAGATTTTCCAGTGTCGGTGACAAAATGTCATCTGTCTCTTTATATCCTCAGTGCGTATTGACAGTCGAACTGTAGCATTGTAGACCCCTTCCTCCGATTGCATGCGCAAGTGTCAGGAGCTTTATGAAAGTTCACATGAGACTCATCAATGCCACCTCGGTAATGCAACTTACGGAGACAAATGAGTTGTACGATCCAATGAAATGACCATACACCTCGAGAGACAGTGCAATGAGGTTGTAGCCCTGTGGTAGCGGGAGACAGAATGCGACGCCTAAAGTTCTGCCATCCCTTTTACACTAAAGTATGGCGGACAATCATCGCCAGTGCGAAGGACAGCGTCTCACATGGTAGCGAATAGAGCAGTTAGACTGACAATTAGTGGATTGCAATCGTCGTCTATCAAAGGAGGAGGAGACTTTCGGATTCGCGTTACTTGTTCCGAAGGATCGGACACAACACCGTTGGACTTCTTCGAAAGTAGGAGACGAGGAGTAACACTACAAACTGATTGAAGCAGCCTGCTCGAAGATGAAACAAGGGAATCTGTTTTGCAAGATGCCCAAAGTCGGTTGGCCTGAAAATACAACAACCGTCAATTTCCAAGCTAATGTTCCACAACCTGGGCCGTTCTCGAACTGAAACTTTGGGCGAGTTGGCCGTTGCAGTGTTCTCAACGGAATCTGAGCTATGTAGTCAGGCATTCTTTCACAGTTTCACCAACATTATGAGTGCGTAAACATCGGAATCATCTAAGGTGCATCAGTTCAACTCATTTGAACAACTATGAACAAAGCAGCGAAGTGCGATGGACTCAGTTGGCACGACTCACGTCACCAGAATAACGAGAAATAACAGCGATGAGAGAATGAGGCAAATGGCAAATAGAGCACAAAGAAAAAGTCATCAGGAAAGAGATACGCGCAATTAATCGAAATGAAATATTAACAGACAAATGCAAGAAAACGAATGAAGGAACGCCACTGACTGCGCGATTGCGTTAAGTCCGATAGCGACGGCAAGCAACAGCATGACTAAGTCTCTCAATCAATTTCTTCAAGCATTTACGTCACGTCACCGAAGAGCCACTTCGCGGTTTCGCCCAAATTGGTGCAACCACAGCGTATAATGAACGTCAAGGAAGGCGGTCAACAGACATATGTAGGACATGACCTTGCCAATGTATGCGGTTGAGTTCAAGCAAACACTACAGTCAGACAACAGAAGGTTTCTTGCCAAAAACCAACTGGCGGTTCTCAGCATTTCGCACTCGGTGTTCCCCCAAACGTGAACAATACACCTTAAGCACCGGTGATCAAACAAAGCCAAGCGTTTAATATCCTCAGTGACAAGTGGACAGGTCTTTTCACAGCGTTATGCACCCATCTTACCAAAAGGTGCATCAATTAGACGAACCAAGGGTGCAACGAAAATCTCAACATTTCCCACGACCTCTCTATCTTAAATGAGATGTGAACTCAGTAGGTGTGCAAATGTTTCGTCTAATTTGTATCAGCGGCAACCCACGATTCAGGGCAAAAATAAGCATCAGCAGTACGCCGGTACGCAGTACCAACGCTTCGCCAACGCGCAACCACCACCAGTCGCACGCGGTCTGAGGACTTTGTGAGCGTCAGACTATCGCTACGCAGACTCGAACCCTTGCACCCAGATTACAAGGTAAAATTGTGATCTTTAAGGCTACAGTTCGGTTATCATTCAGCACAGACTGACTGCACTGTACATCAAACCGTGAGTTCGTTGGGCAGGTTCGCGAGTCGTCCGCGTAAGCACTAAGGCGCAACCGCAGTCTAACTAAATCGATGAGATTGCGCAGCTGTACTTCACAGGCAATTGGTAGCATCATAATATAACGACGTAAACGAGTAAATATCTCATGGATGGAACGGATTTTGGCGCCTAATCGAATGCTAGTAAAACCGATGGTGCGAAAGAACACACGGTGCAGAGCGCAAACGATCGATCGAGAGAACGAGATGCAAAGTTGCTCACTTTCTTCATAGCACTAATTACATCTTGTTCCTCTTGCGCATGGCGCTTGTTCAACTCTTGACTCTGTTTCTCATGCTTTTGAGCCTGGAATTTACGCTGGTCGATGAAACGTTTGGTGTTGTAATCGTTCAACTCGCGAATACGGCGATCCCGCTCGGCTTTGTTGCGCAATTTCGGGTCATTCATAACTGATCGACTGGACTCAATTGACGCCTTTGTCTGTTGAGCTTTCATCTCCTTGATCTCCCGTTCTTGCACAATACGAAGCTCCCGCTTCTGTTCCTCCTGGACTTCTTTGATAATCTACAGGTGGATAGTCAAGCAGAATAGGACATAAATGAGATAATTGTACTGATTCGCCCTAATGGCTCCCAAGCCAAGTAATCTAACCGCTAATCGGAAAACGAGGTCAAAAATTCACTCCCACCATCTTCAAATGCTATGCCTACATAGCTGCTGTGTAGTAGAAGTCATGACCTTTGCAAGCCAACCACTGTTCTCTGCAATGGTAGCAGCCTGCATGGCAATGGAGGATGGGTTGCTCTGTGGCAAAGTTACATTGAAAGTTCAGAGGTTCTGCCACTGTCCCCCTTGGCTCAGTGGCATTAGCTGCTGTCTAGTTAGCTCAAACTGCTAGTGATCACTGGTTCGGTTTCCGGAAAAGGATCGAGGGAATGCGCACGGCGAAGCAATCGTCAGAGCTTCTCCAACTCCAACTTGGAGACTATCTCTCTGGGACGAATAATTTAATTTCATCAAAAATGTTCCTACTCATTGGTTATTAATTGGACATTTTTAGTAAAACAGCTAGAAGATTAGAGACTAAAGAATTACGAAGCCACAATGGGTCATGACATTATTCAAGTCAAGTCCACAATGCGCTTAATGCTCTCATGAAGTGTGAATATTCAGTTACAAACTACGTTGCGGAACTTGATTTGAATGTCTACGATGAATCCTGTACGTAAGCTATACCGAAGATAACATCGTGTGGCGTCCCGGAGTGAGAAAGTAACACCACAGGAACTACGGCCTTGACAATGTATTGGCATGGGAAGGAGGAACTCAGAGATAAATGGGCTAACCAATGAGAGCGCATCAGATGATTCATCGTAAGATAATATAATATTATGTCGAGCGCTACTCAAAAGTGTTATCTGTTCCCGTGTCCCGTTGACGTAGTATGCGACCATGATCGATTCAAGTGGCTTGGTAAGTCAGGTGGATCCGTTTCTTATGAAAGCAGCAGCGCCAACTGGTAACCATAAAATATCCTTATGAAAGGATATTTCTCGCGAAAACATCTGCATGCTTTATAGGAACTAAAGCGCAATGAGGAGGTCATCGTGTGTAGTACAGAAAAGGGTGCGGGGAATGTGCTACTAGACCGAAAAGACTACATAGATAAACTAACAACAATACTGAGCGACGAGACCAATTTTCGTGCAGCACAGGGGAAATAGACCGGACGGAACAAATTGAAACACAGATCACTAAGAGCTTGCAAGAACTTCGGACAAAGGGGTATATTTCAGGTGCCTTGTAGGACAGCCACGAACCTAGTGGCACAAACGTTCCAAGGCTTTACGGGTTACCGAAAACTCACAAATCTAACATTCCACTCCGTCCCATTTTGTCAATGGTCAACTCGTCCTACCATGTGGTCGCTCAGTGACTTGTAGAAAGTCTGGAACCCGTGCGACAGCACCTTGCAACTTACAGCATACGTGACAGTTTCCAGTTCGTAGAAAGCATCAAAAATGCCAAAATAGACGGGAATGTGATGCTCTCTTTTGATGTTGTCTCGCTTTATGCCAACCTCCCGCAGATTGAGATAATAGATTACAATTGCAACTATATAACCTAGTCAAAAATAAAGATATATATATTGGAGATCTAAATTGCCTAATGCTGCGCTGCACCTGGAACGCACAGTTCCTATTCAACGGCAAATACTACAGCCAGAAGGACGGCGTGGCCATTGGATCTCCCCTGCGTCCACTGCTGGCGGATATCTTCATGGCCAAGTTGGAGAGAACAAAATTGCAGGCGGATAGAGTCACTTTTAACCGCTACCATCGGTAAATGGACGAGATATTCGTTGTGGTGGATGAGCACATCAACTTAGATGAAATTTTTAACCGTTTTAACCGAGTCCATGCAGCACTGCATTTTACTTACGAAAAGGAAACCGAAGACCAACTGCCGTATCTTGATGTTTTGTTAACTAGGAGATCAGACGGCTCAATTCAACGGCAGGTCCACAGAAAGCCAACGTGGATTGGCCAGTATACGAATTTCCACAGCTTCGTCCCTCTGAGATATAAGCTCCACATCATTCACTTTCTTATCACGAGAACACGACGAATCTGCTCGAAAGACACCCTAAATGCGGAACTGACGTTCATACAGGATGCATACCCCGACAGATTTAGTTTAAGAAATCTTGGGGGAAAGCCCAAACAAGTATCAATGTTAACAACGGCAAAGAAAGAGCTATTCATACGACTACCTTTCAAAGGGGACGCAGTTGTTGAGAGTTTAACTAGAAGTCTTTCTGGCGCAATTAACGCGACCTTCGCAGCAGCTACGCTAAAGTGCGCGCTTTCGACTGAACCACTCGTCCGTTCACGAAACAAAGACAGGTTGCCCATGCTGACCGCCTTAATGCTTATTTATCAGTTCGAGTGAGCCTGTGGCGCAACGTATATCAGTCGAACGGCGCCGCACTCGTCCAAACAACCGAATGAACATTGCCCACGTTGGTTGCATCAAGGTGACACCGGGGCCATTAGTAGTTCCATTCTGATTCATACTGTCGACAGTGAGCATCAGGTGGATCAATAGCGTGCATTTAGGGTTGTATACAATGTTCCACCGCACCGATCGAAAGTTCAACGCCTTCATACACTTGCGACGGCCGAAGCAATTTCCACTCAATCAGGACAACCGCCCTTGTGCTCGCAAAAGAAGCGAGTCCAGGCTCTACAGTTTCCCTGGACCGAGGAAACGGGGGATACTGAAATCAACGACATGAGGTGAAACTCCGTAACATGTGATTAACTGATTTCCAGTTTTCGTCTATGTTAATTGTATTAACTGGTTGATTTTACTATTTCCATTTTTTAGCCCCATATATGATTGTACTGGTCTGATGATGAATCGTTGAAATCAGTTGCTCACCAAACGGTCTCCTCGTTCGCATTAATCTAATTTCATCACGAACGAGACACAAGCTACCTAACCACACCTACGAACATGGAGTAAGCAACTTTGACCACTACATTGATCCAACACAGATGATTATGCATTCGTACAGCATATAGCCTTGACAGCGATGCCGAATTCTCGTTCATCACTGCCTTGCTGAACAACGGGACTGAAAACGAATTATTCACCGTTAAAAGTTCTTATCACGAACAACACGTGGTCCATGACTACGAGGTTAGTAGGATGGAATACACAATCTCTTTTTAATAGTAATGTTCGTTCCATACGCAAGAGCTAGTAACCACGCTGATGTCTACACTGTAGCAGGTCAGTGTCCTGCACATGCGAGCAAAATGACAGAGTTGTGTGAGAAAGAACCAGGTGTTTTACGCAGTGAAGCATAAATGTTTTGAGCAGTGATGGGACCGGGTGAAACTAAAACAGAGTATGGCTAATTCCATTTCCTGCCGCTTAGATGAAAAAGGTTTGTTTTCGAGTAAAACAGTGGATCGCCGCTTACGTACGAAGGAATGTTAACTGTTAAGGGCATGGTCGAGTATCTTCCAAACAACTGCCCCTACACAAAAGATGAAGGCAAAAACAGTAAAACAGTTGCGCGGGAATGTGATCCCAGCATGATAGACAGCTGCTTTTGAATGAAGGATGCTAACGGAAAGGTTCCGGGCAAAACCTGGGGAGATTAGGAAACCAGACAGCGCATGTCAGGCGAAACAGGAAAGAGCAGGATTAAACCAACCTGAGGACACACGCAAACGCCTTTGAGGCCAACCGTGTATCCCCTTCACAAGGTTAATTTACATGGCATTAAGTGGTGAGACACCGCAATATACCATTACAGCATACGCAAATACGTCGATTGTATGCGCTCATCCGAATGGACAGTGGGTTTAAAACATGCTTGGCTGAAATGTGAGCTGATGGCGACTCTCCAAACTGTGAAATGATAGTGGAATTCCTAGTGGTGCTAGCTACCGAGAGATAGTGTCGCATCGATCCAGGTCTACTAGGCGTGTGTTATAGAGAAAGAATAAACTTGTGAAATGGTCTGACAGGAATGGGTTAGTGAGTGACTGCTTCAACTGAGAACAAAACGCGGTAGCGAGGTCAGTACAGATAGTCGACTACGATTCGAGCATCAAGATGCGAGAAATCCATTTGCCGTAACATAAGTCGTCACGGCAATAGGAATAAATGGCAACAACAGAGGAGCCACGTAAGGAAAGAAATAACACCCAGAGAAAACAGCTCGGAGAGAATAAATGAGATGTGACCTATTCACAGGCAGAGACGAGATACCTAATGCAACAGCACCATGGGCCAAATGATAGTGAGACGCTAGTCGAGCGGGTGGACTATTCTGTAGTTTCCTTTCATAAAGTTTACATGCACCGGATCGATTCGCTCCTCCGAGTCATCGGCTGGTTACACGGAAAAATCACCAACAAGGTCAGTTTGGATAGAGGTAATCAACCAAGTTTAGTGAATCGTGATGCGGTAATTCAAGCAGCATTGGCACACAACGTCAGAAAATGAACAACAATAAAATAATAAAAACACCCACTATAATGTACTTAGCTTACATAATATAACGAATACAAAATTAAATAACAAATAGTTCATTACTTTTCGCCTATAATGAGCTAATTAGAACAGTGAGTTGGAGGCAATGGAGGAGACACAGAGTGACCAGATGGAGCAGTTTGAAGTCATAAACCAGGGACGAGTGCAAGGACGCTGCACTGGTAAACGAAGCAGCATCGGAAGACCCAAACACAGTCAACATATAGACGATGCACGTTCCACGAAAAAGCCAATGCGATGCCAGCGGATTTGTGAAGAAACGGCACCTGGCGAACATCTGCAGTACTCATCTGTGGCCGTTCAACCACTTGAAAACGCGAGTAATTACAGACCACAAGTATTGCTCTTACTGTATCGCTGTAAACACAGGTCTCGCGGATAGATGGCACATCATGTGAAAATATACACTGGTCAGAAGGATCCACAAATTGTCTCCTGGTTGATCCGTATGGGGGATCGTGCCAATATAGTGCGAGGAGTTACGAACCCAGCATTTACCCATTCTAAGTAATTCTCCGGGAGTCTAGTGCAATTGCTAATATTTCTATGCATATACACCTGGAGTGGAAGAAGAAGATATGGCCTCGAAAGTGAACCAGACTTGCGAGAGTGTCAGCAGCGGTGATGAGCCATGGATCTCCGAGTGTGACACGCAGACAAACCGTTAGTATTCAGTGGAAGTCTGATATCGTCTAAGTCGCAGAACGCCCGACCGCTGAAGTCAAAGTCGTGCAGAACATATTCTGCGATATAGGTAGGGTCATCCACTGCGAGTTCTTGCCACAGGTCCAGGTGATTAACCAACATATCTACAAAGATACTGTAACAAATGCTTGGTACAGTAGGGGAGAGGAGGCCAGAGTTGTGGCACAGAATACTCGTGACTGTTTCACCATGACAACGCGCCTGTTCCCAATGCTCCGAGCGACCGACAGCTCTTGGCCAAGCAGAATATCGACATGCTTGAGCAACCTCCATACTCATTCCATTTGCCGCTGTGGAATTTCTTCCCCTTCCACAAGCTTAAAGGGGTCATTAAAGGGGCTCATTTCAAATATGTAGACAACAGCAACAAAATGTGATAACGGAGCTCTAAATGATCCCGAAATAATCCCTCCCGCAGCGTATGAGAGGGTGCCAGAGACGAACGGGAAAGCCCATTGGACTGCAGGAGAATGACACAGAATGCTTTCGCAATCTGTTACCATGCAGATTGGGTTTGAAACAAATTCTTTGTTATCCCGGTCCCGGAATTTTTCTCACTACCCTCGTATTCGCAACGAAATGAATCGGAACACGTTACATAAGCGGTCGCGAAGGAAAACAAATAGTACGAATGAGTACGCTGATCTCAACGATGGGTTTGGAGGAGGTGAGAATAGACATCTGTTACAAAATCACCTGCAAATTATGTGCGTCTTCCAAGGCAAGACATTGGCCGTTTTCTCTGTAGAATTATGTGGGACCTACTTGTAATGAAAGTGATGATAAAGAATCTAACGCGATATCTTCCAACACATTATGCAATGAAGAATCCTGCACGTTACATCGCAAACTAGTGTCACAAAAAGACCCAGTTAGAGGCGTACAACATTGTCCATTAAAGTGGAATTTCCGAGAAAATAGATTTTGGGGTTCTTCACCCTATGGCAATGGCAAACAACACCCTGAAGTTGACGATGAAGCAGCAGAGGCTCCTTGTGAACGACCACCCCAAGTGGCGGACCTAGGCGAGTGGACAATATTGTAGCAAGGAATGAGATTTTATCACATGAAATACGGAGGCAAAAAATAGCGAATACAAACCCTTTGGCAAAATGTGCTGATTAATAGTAGAATAACCTTGGCAATACAGGGTAGAAATGCAAACAGTAACATGCGCATGGATGAGATCTACATCTGCCGACAGCGTGTTCCACTCACACATGAACGCACAGCTGGTCAACCAGATTAACAGAACACATGTGTGACAAATGTGACGGTAAGCATCATGCGGCAACACATGGTGTGTAATTAGGGCAGAACACCCTCCCCCACACACCCAATCGGTTAGCCATATGAGACATGAAAAACGGTTAGATCACCACGGATGTTTGAAGCAGACAGAGTATACAAGGGAGCAACAGTTAACGGAAGCCAATGATTGACTCCCACCATTCTTGCAACCAAAACACAGAGATCGGCTGAGAAGAGTGGTCGACAGCAGGAAAACAGATTGGCGATAGTGTAAGCAGAATAATGGGACCGGATACGCAGTTTCAGTTACACGATTCGCCTTGTCCAACTAAGCCCTGGATGCTCGAAATGTCCATGAGTTACCACAAAATAAAACAAAGTCAATTGTAGGCTCATTGAAGTATTTACCAAATTATATATCAGAAACAGCACAGGACGGCCCTTTCGTCCTGCCCGGATTCGTTAAAAGTGTGCATCCCCGAGTCCAGCAAACACGCAACCCACGACCTTACGACATTAGCTGCATGCACCACCAGCCGGCATCTTATGCCACGGGTGACGGCTGCATATCGTCATGACTTAAAAGCTAATTATGAAACAGCGCAACTCATCCCT